TTTCCGATTTTTTAGGCGATCCGGTCCCCTTTTCACGATTTCCGAGTCGAACCGGGCGAGTCCGGTTCGACTCGACGTTTTTTAAAACACTGGTTTAAGATATTGTCAAAAATAATACATCGTTTAATATTCACTGTTCAACTAAAATGAACAGAAAATTACTGCAAATATACTTTTACAAGTTAAGTTGCAATCTTAGATAAATTTTTTCTTATCAAAATAACTATAGGAAAAAGTTTATATAAGGTTGCAGCATTAAACTATAGAATTAAGGTGCACCTTAAAAATCCATCGAAAAAGGCTGCTTTCATGTTGGAAAACCCTCTAATTGCTTATCTCGGCATCGAGATGTATGGAAAGGAAAAAGAGAAAAGATTTCGAGTCCCAAAAATAGTGCATCTTGTAGCACATTATCTTGACCATCTATAGAATTAAGGTGCACCTTAAAAATCCATCGAAAAAGGTTGTTTTCATGTTAGAAAACCCTCTAATTGCTTATCTCGGCATCGAGATGTATGGAAAGGAAAAAGAGAAAAGATTTCGAATCCCAAAAATAGTGCATCTTGTAGCACATTATCTTGACCATCTATTTTCAAGATTTTCATAAGTTTATAGATCTATTTGATTTGAACTATTTTTGTAATTCAAAATTTTATACTTAGTGTTGGAATTTTTAACACTAAAATCACATCTTATGATAAAATTTAGAGGTGCGCCTTACTTTGATTGTTTAATGCTGCAACCTTATCCAAACGACACCCATAACTATAAATATAAATTAGTTATTTAACATTTTTCCTATTTCTTTCCATTGAATTTCAAAATGCCCATCAACACATGACCACGACATTGAATAGTTGAATAAGGGTAAAATGTTAAATAGTTTATCTCCTATGGATATTTTGATAAATTTTCTAATTTTAAAACAGTGATAAGTTATAGAAGCCATGCTTTTCAGTATCTGACACCTTAAGGATGAGACATCTTGAAACAATCAATTGAAGGGTTTTCAATTTCAGATATATGCCATTTCCATAGCATATGATTGGCACTTCATATAAACATTTTCTACATATATATTCTATTATTGCATGGGCTACAGCAATTGAATCCCATAAAACCTTTATATACTAAGTTACTTCCCTTCTTTTTGTCCTAATATATCCAAAATTGGAACATGGATAACATATCCTCTATATAACATGCTCTAAAAAAAGTAAGAACGTCCTTTTCTTCATAGGATATTTTACTTAACAAAAATATGTAAAAAGTAAGAACGTCCTTTTCTTCATAGGATATTTTACTTAACAAAAATATGTACAATGAGACTATTTACTTTTGATATAAGGATGTTACAATCATTCTTAACCATTGGATTTGAAATCAAATGGTTGAGGATGTGTCATTGTCTGAGCACAAAGTCCACAATAAAGTTTCTCGAATCTTGTGATACAATTTCTTCTTTAAGATTTCACATCCAATGGCTAAAAGTGATTGTGACCTCCTTGTACCAAAAATAAATGGTCTCATAATATACAATCTCATTACTAACTTTTCACTTACATAGAGAACTAAAACATGCGGCCTACTCACTTTATTCACACCCTACGCAATTTTTTTTTTTTGAGTAGTTCAGTGGGGAAAGGGTCCCCTACCGTAATATAAATGGAACTTAAGATGTCATGTTACGGCACCCGCCACCCAGACTATCTATACCTTTGAGTCCATCCTAGGTTTAGCAATACATATTCCATGCGTGAGTACCAACTCTCACCTTTTTTTTGAAGCCGTTATCAAACTCTCGTCTCTTTTATGAAAGTAGGGTGCACTTTAAAAACTGATTGGAAAGGATTATTTCAGTATTGAAAAACCTCATCATCTCAACCTTAAGATATATGGATATGAAAAAATAAAAAGGAATTTCAACACCTAAAAGTTAGTTCCTCTACTATATGTTATTTAGGCCATCCATTTTCAAGATTTTCAACTATTTATAGATTTACTTGATCAACATCATTTTTTTATCTTTAAATTTTATAATTTGGGCTACAAAAAGATATTCAAGTTATCATAAAATTTTCAACACCAAAACTGCATCGTTTTACGGAATTAGAAAGTACACTGTATTTTGATTGTTTGAGGTAGACACCTTATATAAACCTGCCATCAAAGTATCTAGAATTTCAAGTTACTTCTCCTATTATCGCATATCCTCGAATGTAGCAAAACCCTAAGGGCTCGTTTGGTTCATACGTAACAGTTTGCATGTCATATGTAAACAGTTCCCTGTGTAAGAGTTTTCCAATCCTGTTTTTTCCCATGTTTGGTTCACATGTCTGGAATTCCTATATACCCAGTTTCTTATGTTTGGTAACCCATAGGTAAACTATCTCTGAGAATCTGGATTTATACCTATTTTTAACTGTTGAATTGCATATATCTAGTTAACTATTTCACTTCAATTCTCCGATTTTAAGGGATGTTAGGTGTCCTACCCTAGCTGCATTTCTCTTAAGAAGTTTTCTCTTTTTCATCAATTTCAATTTTGCTATAGCATTACGCTATAGCATTGCCATTACAAATCACATTTTCGAGGCAACACAAACTCTATGAATAATCAATCTGTAATCCATACATACAATTACGAGTTATAATAGTATGAAGGGTATACTTCTGAAAATTTAATAGAAAATATGTTAATAAAAAGGATAAATCATACCAAATGGAAAAATAGGCATAAACCATCTTTCGTTTTCCTCTTTTACTTTTTAATGTGAGTATAGGGCTAAAGAAAATCATATAATAATACTGTAGACAAGCAATAAGCATTCAAAAGAAAACAATTTCACCAACACAAATCCTCACTAATTGAGCAACCATAAATTTCATAAAATTGACATAATTGATAAATTGATCAAATGCAGCTAAAAAAGACCAATATAATATAAAAAAAGTGAATAAACAATGAAGAGCTTCACATCCAAAATCAGGCCTCTCATTGAAGCAGCTATGAGCCTCCATTGAACATGGAGTTTTCCAAGATTGCAGGGCCAGCTCCACTTGATCATTATAAATTGACTAATAAAATAAATAAACAAAATACAAAGTGGGTTTTCAATGGATTAATGAAAAAACAAATAACTCTTATTTTTTAACCTTTTGGAATCGTTATTGCAGAGGAACTAGGAAGTTAAAAGTATTCTAGAAGAAAACAAACTGCTTCCATGGGGGGCACAAAAAAACAACAAAATCTAAAAGGAAAAATAAAACAGAAAAAAACCATACCCAAGTTGTTTTACATATTAAAATAGAGCTTCTGTACCCAACAAAAAATACATATAAAAAAAAAAAAAGCAGAAAAATTAAAAGAAAAAACTTCAAAAAACACAAGAACAAACTAGAAAATACAACCAAAAAAAAGCTCATAACCTTTCTACATCGAAAATGGAACTTTTATACCAACAAAACATTTAAAAATAAACTAGCAAAAACTAAAAAAACCAATAGTAAAAAAATAAAAAACCAGAAAAAATAAAACAAAGAAAACTTATACCTTTTGATTTTATTTTTTTTACAGAGAATGGAATGTTGTGCATTTAACATGAAGAATCCTTATGCTATGGTTATAACGCCGGTTCTACTTACCCCAAGTAAGCAAACCCATATCAAAGTTCGGAGAAATTAGTTTTTGTCCTTAGATGCAGAGCAAATAGAGCACACCATCAATCACATGGAGTCATCAACAGCCTCAATGCCTCATATACAATTATTTATGTCCAACAAAAAGCTAAAAGAAAAACCAGCAAAAAACATAAAAGGAAAACCAGCAAAAAAAAAAAGTAAAAGAAGAAAATCCTTACCTTGTTGAAGAGGATGAAGAATGTTGACAATGATGAGACTTCGAACGTGATTCTCGTTTGAGAAAGAGAGTACGATAATAGGGAAGAGGGAAGGGCAGAGTTGAAGGAGAGGACACAGGGGCGAGAGAGAGAGAGTAGGGAGGTTTTGCTTTTCTTTTTCTTTGGTTCCGACCGTCACGCTAAACCCTTTCTTATTTTTATTTCGCGCGATTTATGCCCTAAATGGGCTCTTACACTACTAATACAAACCAGCATTAATTAAAGGGTATGGTTACTATAAGGATGCAACCTTAAACAATCCAATTAAGGTACACCTCCAAATTAATAATAACATATAGTTTTGGTAAGAACATTCTTAAAATTATTTGAAAATCTATTTTTATATATAATTATAAAAATAAAAAAATATAAAATGAGACAATTTACCTTTTGTATGAAGCGAGACATTAATCTTGACCATTGAATGTGAAATTGGGTGGCAGCAATTATTCCATTGACTAAGCTGAAATTTCAAAAGAATTTTTTTCGAACTTTGTGATACATCCAAGCTATCAAACTTCACATCAGATGGCTGTAAATAATAGTAACCATATTGTATCAAGGGTAAATAGTCTCATGGTATACAATCCCTTATAAAATTTTAAACTTCAAAAATAATTAAAGGGTGTGGTTTCCATAAAGTTGCAATCTTAAACAATCCAACTAAGGTGCACGTTCAAATTTTATCACAATATATAATTTTAATGAAAAATGTTCGTAGGTTTATCTCAAAATCTATTTTTATATCTAATTATAAAATTTTAAATTCCAAAAATGGTTAAAATCAAGTAGATCTATAAATATATGAAAATCTTGAAAATTGACGGTGTAGATAATATGTTGTAAGATGTATTATTTCTAAGACTCAAAAGCTTTTTATTTTTCATAGTCATACATCTCGATGTCGGGATGGTCAATCACAGGTTTTTTCAACATTAAAACAACCTTTTACGATGGATTTTTTAGGTGCATCCGTAGTTCTACATTTTAAGGTTGCAACCTTATATAAACTTTTTCCATAGTTAAAATCAAGTAGATCTATAAACATATGAAAATCTTAAAAATAGGCGGTCTAAATAATGTGTTGCAGGATGCACTATTTATGGAACTCAAAATCTTTTTTTTTTTTTTTTTAATACATCTCGATGTTGAGATGATAAATTAGAGAGTTTTTCAACATTAAAAAAACATATTTTGATACATTTTCGATGTGCATTTTTAATTCTACATTTTAAGGTTGCAACCTTATAAAAAAAATTTCCATAATTAAATTCTATATAGCCTGTTGAAAAAAATACGGTCCAACGATCAAAGCAAAAGCAAAATAAAACAATCAGGAACCGGGTATCATACCTGAGTGCTCACAATAATTTTGATGAACGTATGTGGAGATGAATGATTAACTCATGTAGGCACGTTCGACAACTACTAAAGCTTTCGAAATCTGTTCCACACCGAAAATCCCAAGTGAAGTGGAAGCTCACGTTCACTATCACAAAATGCGATAGGAGCAGTACAAGCTTGACTTTTTCGACAACTCTTTCTTTCGACAACTCTTTCTCTCACGACCGGATCTCTCCTTAGATATTAAATGGGAGAGGGATTGTACTCTCTCTCACACACATACACTCTTTCTCTATCTCTCAAGAATTTAACTCTCACACTTTCTCATGTGTGTTGCGGTGTACGTGTAGAGACCTCCACCCCTCCCCTTTTTATAATGAGAGAAATGGCTCTATCATTCATGAGGGAGTAACTTCCTCATGAATGGGCACCCTTATGGTACATGGTGCAGGACATTCATGGGAGGGTAACCCCTTCATGAAGAGGTGCAATCTTTCCCCACTTCCTTTCATGTTGTAACGCAAATCAAACATGAAGGGAGTATCATCCACTTGGGTGTTCTCTCACACTAAGGATGCATCCTCATATTTACACAGCCGACCGCTGCTCTTACACCGGCACTACGAGCCAACTATAACTCAACAGGGTATTGTAGAAGTAAATTGCACCTCTAAATTTTGCCTCAAGACATAGTTCCGGTATTGGAAACTTTGCGAAGGCTTGAAATTCTAATGTTATCCCTAATTAGAAGATTTAAGATTTTAAAAACAGTACAGATTGCATATATTAAACACTTGAAAATTTTAAAATTGTACAGTCTAGATAGTCTGTTACAATATTTAATATTTTTAACACTTAAAATTCTTTTTTTTCTTCATATCTATACATTTTGAGGCTAAAACAATCAAATTAGAGTGTTTTCTAACATCAAAACATTATTCTTTTTAAATTTTTGATGTGCACCTTACTTCTGTGATATACAGTTGACACCATATATAAACTTTTTCCTAATTAAATTCTCTGCACGTGTGCCATGTTTGTACTGTCACCCCCATCTAAAGATGATATTCATTTCTTTTCTTTCTTTTTTTAATGGAAATTGGAATGTGGCATTATTGGACGTCAATTGCTGAAAACTCAAGCCCAAGCCCTAGAGACGATCGCATTTTTCTTTTTCAGTGTAAAACATATTCATCCAAAAGCAAATCGTACTCTTCCTACTTGGGCAAAACACCGTGTAGGAGGGTTTGTTTGATATTAAATTTAGAAAGGGAAAATGGTTGGACAAGGCGGTAGCCTATAAAAAAAAAAGTAAAGTATCACCTTATAACTCATTGAAAATTACAATTCAAGCATTAAAACCTTTTCATCAACCTTTTCATCAATCATCTTGGTTTGAACATTATGGTTGAGAAAAAATTAGGATTTTAAACTCTAAAAATAGTGTATATTGTAATAAAACATCTTGACCGTTCATTTCACCCTAAAACTAAGTGCTCATAGATCTGCAAGATATATGCCATTTTTTGTGTTTCAAATTTTATTGTCGATGTTAAAAATTGATTTTAGATTTATCATGAAGATTTTCATTGCCAACAGTACTTTCTGGATGAAGATTTGAGGTGAGACTTTATTTTGTTTTCATAAAGCTTAGACTTATATAGACTTCATCCTCCGGAATTCAATTTTAAAGATAGGTTTTGGATCTAAAATTTTAAAGATTGAAAAACTAAACTATGATGAGCATGAAATTTATATATATATATATATATAAAAGCTCTAGTAAATAAAAATTAAGTACTTTTTAATAAAGTTTTAAAACCCTTAATTTTGAATCTCGGTGGGACCACCACTAGTTGACATCCATCTACCAGATGGATGTTAAGTGCATCATGGTATACTATTATAGAACTGCGTCACCTGACACACCAATTACTCTTTCATTTTAAATTTCAGTTACAAAAAAAAAATCTGTGTTTAAAAACACCTAGATTTGACAATCCAAAAAATTTGACCCCCCTCTCTCTCCCTCTCTCTTCTAGGATGTGTTAAACACAAGTCAAAATTACAAAATGTATTATATGAGACTATTTACTTTTGGTACGAAGTAGTCATAATCACTTTTAGCTATTGGATGTGAAATTTAATAAAAAAAAAATTTTATCACAACATTCTAAAAATTTTATTTTAGACTTTGTATCCAAACAGTGACACATCATCAACCATCATATTTCAAATCCAACGGTCAATATTCATTGTGACCTCCTTATATCAAAAATAAATAATCTCATTGTATACTTCTCCAAAGTGCGCCTCAATGACCTAAGGGCTTGAACCTATTCTCCACAACTGCCATAACTACAAACCGCAATGGCCATACCGAAAGCTTGACGCGTTTTATTTATCAGGTTGCTCCTTTTCTTTAGATCAAAGTAACCCACAAGATTACAAACTTAAGATGCCACAAAGGAGTCAAAATCTATTAATATTCAAGCTGCTCTACAAGGTTTAAGAGGTCAATATCCAGGGTACAAATGAGTAATCATGGGAAATGTCATTGGGCCTTGTATATATACACATCAATAAGGAGTCTGCAAGAACAGACAGCTTGAGACAACAGTTCTGAGCATAGCCAACCAAAGATGAGGAGACAAATGGAAATTTCCATATCCACATTCAGTTGAATTGGATCAAATTTAATTGGGCAATATGCACAAACACATTATATATATGTTGACAATAATGGTTCCAAATTAAATGGGCCCTCCAGGTATTAAATTACAGTGGCTTGCAGCCACAGAAGATTAAGAAGTAGAGCTCAAGGACTAGAATACAAGTTCCATTCAAGCTACAAACTTCCTTTTCTGTCATCCCACTTAAGAGGTGCACTTACCTACCTCCACTTAAATATTTTACTAGCTCAGATGCAAAAAGAAGGAACAAAAAAGGAGCAAAGAATTTCTCTCTCTCTCTCTCTCTCTCTCTCTCCAAAGAATTGACCATGCTACATATCGTCCCTAATAAACATGAATACACAAATGCATGGAGAAGTACACAAATACTTGGAGAATGACAGCTTCTATCATGTCGTTGTATCAGGTTCAAGAACATGAGGGGGTGAGGCTTGTTTTGATGGGTCATCCGCATGGTACATGTACAGGCTATTTGCAGCAGCACAGGCAATCGAGTTGGCAGTAGGGTGCCATGCTAGGTGAAGCAGCTTTGTTGTGAAGTCAAATGCCCCACCATTGGCATCACTTTCCAGTCCTGCAACATTGTATAAACATAATCATGTAAAACCCGAAAAGGATCCAGACAATTCAGAAGCTCTCCATATTGGGTTCAAGTCTGAGCTCCAAACCCAATCAAGGCAGGAAAATATGTCATGACCTCGCTCAAAATTTGGGAGCACGAAATGGAGGTATGAAGTTATAAACTCCATATATCAATGGGACACAACACATATACAGTGGCATGCATGAATGAGCACATAGGAGCTGTTTTTTTTTTTATGCTGTTAACTGTGAGCATAGAGCTGCTATACACAAGTATGATACCACTTGCACTAGTCAAGCATTCAACACTACAAGTGGGCTGAAACATCTGAAGGTGGTAAATGAGCACTCACCACCATCGGTTTCCCCAAGTATATATGCACGTGCGTCGGTGTTGATCTCCTTCTCTCATAATATATGGGTGCAGTAAGCATAAAGCCTAACCTTTACATTGGAAAGTGAAATCGTGGCTCAGAAACCCCAAAGAAAATAGTAGTTCCGACACCGGATACCCCTATGATAGCCTAAAAGTCTATTTTACCCATGATTAAAGTGAGGTAGAACTGGTGGATCTGTAAACAGTTGAAAATGGACAGTCCAGATCTTACAAGAGATTTTTGGGGCTTTATATCCTTTTGCTTTCAAATCCATTATTGTCGAAATCAATATGATCAATTTTAGTTATGCTAAACCTTAGGGCGTAGTACAACCATTTTCCTATGGATAAAGATTATGTGCATTGGAGGACTTACTGAACATTTGTAAGCGCAACGACTGGATGGCCATCGTTCACTGACAGGGATGGCGACATTTTAGTAAATGTTTTTCTTTTTTGTTCACATAGGTCAGGTGCCCTCTCCCCAAATTTCAAGTCAAAAAGATTTGCATAAGAGAATTGAAAAAAAAAAAAACAGTGTGCATATATTGGCGATCAACTCTGGGCTGTTGAACCAAAACTGTTCCGCAGGATGGGGGCTCACAAACAGATTTCCCTTTTAGTGTCCATGTCGAATCAATACCATTCCGCAGACAAGGCGGCTCACACACAGATTTCCATTCTAGTGTCCACACACACACACACACAAAGGTAAACATTTAGGTTGGCAATACGCTAACACTGTTTAACACCACCTCCCCTTCTGGTGTTCTGTATAATTCTTATAGGGTAATTTTTTGGGAATGGTCCAAAACACTAGATGAACAATTTCAAAACAAAAAATCATTTTGAGCTTATTAAACTGTAGATCTAACATGCACCAAAGTAAATGACTTATGATGCACCATAGTCACTCTTTTCCAAAAACCATTTCTTTTAAGTGTTCTTTTTATTTGGGTGAATTTCATGGGAACAATCACTAGGGTCATAAGGATGTATGCGCAAAAAATGGCACCAAACAAGTACACCTAAAACCAAAAAATGGAAAATGGGGGATGAGCGAAAATGGAAAGAGGTGTGATTTGGTTCAAGTGGAATGCTCTAAAAAGGCAAGTGGAATGCTCTAAAAGGGCAAGTGGAAAGGCCCAAAAGGGCATGGATAGTAGTACTGAAAAAATATAAGGGGATATGGTCTTACTAAGGTAGGTCCCTTGATAGAGCAGAATGGCAGAACAAGATTCGTGTACCCGACCCCAAATAGTTGGGATAAGCATTTGATGATGATGATAACAATCTTCAAATTTCAACCTCCCCTGAACAATGTGTGTTTGCAGTAGACCAGTGGAAGTAGGTTGGACTTAGTGCATATGGATATCAACACATAGACTTGTAAGAGGGGTCAAACACTTAAAGCATGTGCAGCTAGGATTTCAAGTCTGAAGACTTTTGTAAACCCATCTTCTACAGTTGTGCAGCTAGTCAAGAAAACAAGGGAGTTTTCTGAATGGATAGTATTTCTACCCTTGTTCACAAAACCACACCTGTGAATCATGAGTGCTTAACATTTAGGAACCAAAATGGAAATCCTTTCCTATGGGTCCATACTACATTTAAATAATCAAAAAGGAATTTCATCTCTCTCTCTCTCTCTCNNNNCTCTCTCTCTCTCTCTCTCTCTCTCTCTCTCTCTCTCTACTCTCTACTACTACTACTACTACTACTACTACTACTACTACTACTACTA